GACAGAGCGCATTGAGTGGTGCTTCGCAGTCTATTCTCTCTATTTTGAGAGTGCTCTTTGGTACGTTTGCTCCGTCACGGCGTCTGAAGTTGCTCCAGTCACTGTGCCAGCGTTGGAGTGTCCGTGTGCCGCAGAAAACTGCGTCGGTGAGTGAAAACGATTACTGCCGTGGGATTATGCAGCGGTTGGCGATGAAGATCTCCCTTGTGATTGATCGGAGTGTTCTTGTGAATGGTGGTGGGTCGCTGGGATTCTTGACGAGCGCCGACGGTGCCCATGATGACCAACTTTCTCGGTATTCGGCTGCTGCGAGCAAGCGCTCGAAGACGGTGAGCTGGCTGAGTGGAGGACAGAGAAGGAAAAGCATGCTTGGGCAGTCGTTGATGGTGGATGATCTTTCTATGAGCGCTGACGACTCGATCGTCACTATTCACGTTAAGATGCCCGCGTAGATGGGCGTTGTTGTCGTACTGCGTCATTATGTTCCGTTTATTTTGGTTACGCCACCCAGGGAGTGGAAGCTGGTGGCGCTTCTTCAAAGAATTGTATTAGGTATTTTCGGATCGATTCGAATATTTTTTTTATATCTATTTTTGAGAAATGCAGGCTGCATGATGCTGTGCACTGTCTGCGGCGTTGTCTGTGTGAGCTGAACTGTGCGATTGCTGCGTTTTTTATCATGATTTGTGTTGAACTTTATTATTTGGATAAACTGTGGTATCATCTGTGGTAAGTTGCTGCAGGTACAATTTCATGCACGCAGCCTGCCGGTGATGGTGCCAGAGTGTCGGATTGCCCCTCGTGTGGGAGCCGAGATGTAATTGTTAGCGTGGGGTGTCTGCTGCGCAACCGACACAGACCCTCTATGCGTGGTAATAGAAAACGTAATTGTATTTTATACTTTGATGGTGATTTGCGGGGAGTGGCGTTGGCTGTGCATGTGCCAATGTGGCCCAGTCAAGTTGTTGATTGTGCTCCTTTTGTCTCCTGAGTCCTTCTTTCCCTTTTGTTGAGGTGCCTGAGTGAGTGGCGTTGGTGGTGTAGGATGCCGCGTTGAGGCGCTTACCCGTACCCGCACGGTGGCGGTGTAGTGTGGCGGCACGCCCCCGCCCCCGCAGGCGTCTGCGCTGCCGATATCCACGACCGCAGACGAATGGTGGCCGTGGCGTGTGTCTTGTGGTGCGGGAGGCTGGCGTGTCGCTGTGCGCATCTTTCGCTGTCTCTGCTGGTGGGCGGCGTCCGGACGCGTCTGCGGGGGACTCGACGTTATTGGACGCCACCGTTGTGGTGCCGATGCGGCTGACGTGTTGTGGACGCGGCGCCTTGTTTCGGTCCGGGACGTCTGGGCGATAATGTGGAGGGCACTGCCATGATTGTGTGTACTCTTACCTTCTGCTTGCTGTGCGGTTCACTTCGATCTGTGCTTCGGGAGAAAGTCCCCTGTTCAGCTCTTGCAAAGGGACGTGTGTGTGATGTGGTGCGCCGCTGTTGGTGGCTTTGCACCTCGTTCTGGGTGCCGCGCTAGGTGGGTCTGGCACGCGCTGTGATGCCTGTGCGCTGGGTTGCTGTGTGCGTGTGTGACAGACGGGTTGCTGGTGTGGCTGGC